CAATTTAATATTATTAAATAGTAATTTGTAAAATAATCAGTCCAATTACGCTAGTGTCATAAAACAAATGAGAGAACTATATTTTTTTTCTGGTATCTAAGGTAATTGTTCGGGCAAATTATCGCCGGTAATGCCAGTTACGATTCTTGTTTTTATAAAACGTAAATTGTGCATGTGCTTTTTTTGTTCAAATGGACGAATCGTAGGAGTCGATTCAATACGAGAAATTGAATTGTGTGATTCTATTCACTAAAAAGAATCGTAATGCCCATCACTAGTACACAATATATCTATAAGGCAGTGGTGATCAACTTCCTCCCTATCATAAACAATCTTGGGTCAACTTTTCAGCTATCCCCTGTATTTCCGGGGATTAAACGGTCGATGTCGACTCCTCGGCCATTCTCCCGAACAGGTGAGGGGGTCGGCCCGTAAATACGCCGTTTTATATCGGCCGCGGCATTGTAACGAGGCGACTCGAGCGAAGAAAGAACGATAAAGTGCGCTTTTCAACTAGAATTTCCAACAATAATAAGGCTTTTTATTGGATCGGGCGCAAAATACGCGCGGCCGTCCGCCGTTCTTCCTCCGTATTTTACAATTAATATTCAATATTTAGGGAGGTTTAGTGTTGGGTCGTCAGCGCGACTTGTTTACTGCGCTCGGTCAGCGCGTTCTCTGGCTTTTCTCGGCTCTGTGGTCGCTCCGTGGGTGTGATTGTGTGAATAAAAATGAGTTGAGGGAGTGATAAAAACAATCTTTAAAATTATATGTTTATTTTTTCTATTGTAAATAGTTATTTTTTATACAAGACAATAAAATGGTATTTTATCGTCAACCGAAAAGATTTATTCACGAGCGATGAAACCGCGAGTGAATTAATTTCGTGAGACGATAATGCAATTTTATCGTCATGTATAAAACAATATTTTTTCCATTGCGAGTTACGTTTTAAAAATATTCAGAAATTATTATTTCAAGGAACTTATTACGAGTAGAAAAATATTGTGCTGGGTTGGCGTTGGTTTCTATGTAATTTAACAAATACATAAAGCTGTCTCTTTAGTTCTCAGTTTTGAGTCAATATTTTTTAATTCCCTTTCGTGTCGATTGCTGATTGAATTGGAGCCAGAAATGGCTCAAAACGAAATAAGTAAATTACCAACAGATATTCAGGCTGAGGCGACAAACGCCATATCCAAACTACTTCCATTTAAATCCCGAATAACTTATGAAAAGGAATGCAAAAATTTTCCCATTCCAGGTTACCTATAAAGTTTTCCAAGTTCTTGAATGTTACTTTAAGTTGTTTTTCCACGTTCTGGTCCAGTTAGTGCAGTGTTCTTTCCTTTTATAGCTAGATCGTTTATGTTTTCATTACCTTCTATTCCTTGTTGAGCTGGGACTCAAAGTAGTGGGACTTTATTTTCTTTGCTTAATTTGTTCAGCTTTTCTCAGCATTCCTTGATCAACTTCGAATTGATAGTTATTGAGTTGATCGCTTTTAAAGCTGCTTGACTATCTGATAAGATGACTATAACTTGGTATAGCTGGACTTTTGACCAAAGCTTGTTATTAAAAAGTTTTTATTAATTAATAAGTTTGTTTTCTTTATCTTTGGGGGTCCGTCAGTGTTTTATCCTTGCTGCTACAGCCTTGACTTCGACGTCGTCTCTGCTTGAACAAGGAGCGTCTCGACGTTCGAGCGTCGGCGCTTTATCTCGCTAGCCCCGTTGCTAAGCGACGCCCGATCTAGCCGACGCTAACGATTGGTGCGCGCGGTCCCCGCTCGCCGGTTCACAATGGCCGCCTCCCCTGCGCGCCACTGGCCCCCTTTTCATGCCATCCGCACCCGATAAACACCGCGTTTAATCGAAGACGGCGGACGGATCGCGGAAGAACCGTAGAGGATAAGCGAGAACTGGATACGGTGATTGGAAGCTTCGGTTTGAAGCGATGATGCTATCGTGCTTCTAAAACCTATTTGTTCTCGTCGTTATGCAGCGTCGAGCGTGTTTTGTATTCTGTTTAGTATTTTTGTGAATATTTTGTATGTTACTGGTTGTAGGCTTATTGGTCTATAGTGATGTCTTCTTTGCTGCCTTTCTTATGAATTAGAAATATGTTGCCGCTATTCCAATCGGGCGGTATATTTTTTCTCCTTAGAAAGCTGGTGTATACTAAGGACTGGCAAAGGTTAGATTTGGATCGATATTTCCGTATGTATGAAAGGTACAATGCGTTTATAATGTACTGAACAAAGAAAGACCAGTAAAAACGTTGCCAAACATATGAAATAAACCAAGAAACTGTGCGCATTGCTAAGAGACGTGGAAGGGGATATGCAGATTCGTCGCGCTCAATCAGTACTTAAAATTCTAGAGAAGTGTGTACATCATGCGGTCAGCTTCACGATTTAATTACGTCTCGCGATACTTTATTTGTTTATTTTATAACGAGTCGTAATTGCCCTGTTGCTTGAATTATTTTAAGTGCAAGCTTTTTAGATAAAAATAAGTGGAATTGAGTGGGTGTTCGATAGTGGTCGCGCTATTAGAACTCTGAATTCAAAAATCGATATCTCGAAATCTATTAGAAATAATAGATTGTAGTTTTTTCAATAACTTTGGTAATATTTCTGCTGTATTTTCTTTGTAGACAGTATGTGAAAATCTTTATCAATAAAAAAATGACACGTTTGCTCAAAATTGTTATGCTCTAAAAGAAAATGGATGGATTGTTTACAATTTTTGAATGGAAAAAACAACCTCATCGAATTTTTCTTGTGTAAACATATTGTAAAATATCCCATCTTGAAAAAAAAAGTTTCAATATCTAAAGTGGTTCTTGAGTTATGGCCTGTTATGTGTTAAAAATTTGAGTTTTTAAATTATTTTTTTTTCTAGACGTTTTCTAGTTATAAAAGAAATGGACACCGTAACGAATTCCATTTCAGATGCTGAGAAACGTATCCAATGATTTTGTCTAGTTATCTTTTCGAAAAAAAGTCTCTTAAAAATAAGGGGTTTGCGATCGTGATTTTACTTTACTTGATAGGAAAAGGCGTACCGGAGAAATGTGACAACGCCACAACAGCACACCGTCGCATTTCTCTCACTCCGACTTAATAAGATTCCTATGGGATTTACTTCCACATACGTAAATCCCGACCTAAAGGTAAGAGTTGCCAGCACGGTATAAAAGTTATTTTATTTACTGTGACATAATATTTGCGTATAGGATCCACCGGTTCTTTTAAAAATATTTTAATAATACTTTATATTAAAATGTGGTTGTAGATAAAATTTTTACTTAAATTGAATTGGATTATGTAGATAAATAGAAAAAAGAAAAAACCGGAATGGGAAAAAAATGTTTTTTCATAGGTTAGAAATCAAAAAGATAGCCGAAAACTGATGTATATCTATGTACCTACTACAGTTTCTTCAGGTAACAAATCTAATTAATTAATACTTAGTCAGTACAATGTTGGTACATGATTTTGGTAGATAAAAACACGTCTAGGTCTGTTATGCTCGAACGTTCTTGTAACAGACAAGATAGAAAAAAATGGAATCGACGAAAGGGGGAAGCAAGAAACAAGGCGGTGACTCGGATTGGTTTCGCTTGGTTGGTAGCATTGAAAGTGGTTCATTAAAATCCTGTTAAATAAGCTTTTAGTTTACAGTAAAGGTTACGTTCTTACTCTCATAGATAAATGAATATAACGATGTTTTGTGTTGAAATGTTATGGTTTCTTAAGCTTCAGAATTGTATTTACAGTTCTATGTTATAAATAAAAAAAACAGTTTCATTAATTGCTATACGTATAAACAATTATTTTCATCACTTTTAACAAACTTTTAACACTATGTAATAGATATTTAGGAGATTTCATCTTTCATTGTTGAATACCATCTTTAAAAATGGTTTATTTTGCACACTGCATTCACCAACTAATAGAATCATATCAATTCTTTCTGATGTAGGATAAGTTTGCATTTTTGGCAAATTTCTGAGAATTTTTTTTTTGTTTTAACTGACACAAAATGATAACTAGTTGTTAAAGTTGGACTAATTTGACAGCTATGTTGAAGTAACGTCAGACATAATCACCAGCCACCTAGATTTTATCAAATAATAAAGATCTACTCAGATCAAATTATGTAAATGAGAATATCTAGGAAAGTCTTTCTTTGAGGGGTACGCAAACTTAATAGTATTTTGAAGAGACATGAATTCTCCATTGAATATCGGAATAATACACTGGGTGTTCCATTTAAAATAAAAGAGTAAAACGCTTTTAAAGGCGACCAATGTTCAATATTAATTTTGTCTCACTCTGCATAACATTTTGGATCAAGTTTTAATTTGATTTAAAGTACAATAGTTAATTTAACTACATATTACGCTATACCGGGTAAATTCCAGTTTAGGTAGCTTTATCGCAATTTAAAAATTGTTCTTTATTTCTAGAAAATGTCAAATATGTCAAAAACCTTACATTTTAGTCATATACTTCTCTTATAAAACTCACCTTTATTTTTTTCCTATAATCTAAAAATAAATTAATATATAGAGTGTTCCATTACAAAAAAAAACAACTTTGATGTGTAACTTTTTTGGGGACACCCTGTAGAACTCTATATTTTTAAAAAGTGCTATGAATTAACCTACATATGCTCACAAAATTTCATTTCAATACAAACTGTCGTTCTCCTTGGAGCCTCCACGGCATATGAGAGGCGCCACCCTGTATACTTATTCCAAAAGTATGTTATTAATGTTTAAATTACCACTCAGTACTAGGTTTGTCATGTATTGTGTCTTTGATAAGTTAATTTTCAAACCGACTTTTTCCGAAGCATCATTTAGCATATCCAGCATATTCTGTTCTTCCTGTATGTTGTCTGTTATTAAAACAATATCTGCAAAACAGAGATGATTTATCAATTTGCCATCGAACAAAAATATATTAATTCTTTTTTTTTTCTTTCCAGATAGTACTGAATTCGATGCACCGGTACCAGCCAAGGATCCACATAGTCAAATGGAAGGACCACTCTGGCCCCATTACGGATCTGGAGCAGGAACAGTACCGTACCTTTGTTTTTCCCGAAACAGTATTCACTGCAGTTACAGCTTACCAAAATCAGCTGATCACAAAGTTAAAAATCGACTCAAACCCTTTTGCTAAAGGGTTTAGGGATAGTTCGAGATTGACAGATTTTGACAGGTGAGATAAATTAATATCTTTTTTTTCATAGCGACTGTTAAAATTGCCTTATATCTATCAAAAATAGTAGATAAAATAGTACTTTAACCGCAAGGGTAGATTAAATGATACTTTAACAGCACGGATAGGTTAAAAACTTTATTTCTTCTCGCACGGTTTTTAGTTGCTTCCATTTTTGAAAATGTTTGTATTCCTTTTCATAAGTTATTCGGGATTTAAATGGAAGTAGTTTGGATATGGCGTTTGTCGCCTCAGCCTGAATATCTGTTGGTAATTTACTTATTTCGTTTTGAGCCATTTCTGGCTCCAATTCAATCAGCAATCGACACGAAAGAGAAAAAAATATTGACTCAAAACTGACAACTAAAAAGACAGCTTTATTTATTTGTCAAATTACATAGAAACCAACGCCAACCCAGCACAATATTTTTTCTACTCGTAATAAATTCCTTGAAATAATAATTTCTGAATATTTTTTAAAACGTAACTCCCTATGGAAAAAAATATTGTTTTATACACGACGATAAATACCAATTAATATTTTCGGTCGACGATAAAATACCATTTTATCGTCTTGTATAAAAAATAACTAGGTATAATATTTTTTTCATGAGAAAAATAAAAAAAACTCCTGTAACCTTCAGACATGAATTTTCTAATCAGATTGTGTGCAACATTGATTTCTTTTGATCCATCGTATACATAAAAAAATAAAAATATAATCAAAAAATAATTTGAAAAGAAATTCTCGTGTGAACAAATTTTTAAATAACCCGTAGTAATCCAAACTTTTATCGAATATACCAATTGATTTTATCATTTATTTATCATTAATCTTTGGTGAGATTCTAGACTCGCTGTTCATCAAACCCGAATGATATATCGTTGCTTGAGAGTATGTTTTATTACATTACGATGGCCTTTGAACTTACTGTGTATACGAATGTGCTATAAGATTGAAAAAGGAATAACCAACAGATAGAATTACCTGTGAGAAATATATTATACTGTATATACAGGGTGTCTCAGAAATAAGTGCAAGTCTTTTAAATGGTAACAGGAACACCGACCATGAGGTCTTTTTGCGAAAAAAAAATGTTGAAAATTTTATATTTTTCTTGACTTTTTCCGGAAAATATTGAAAAACTTTTGAGTGCCACTTTTTCAGTTTCGGGAAATTTGTCTCTAATGCTTTGAGAGAATGCAATGTTACCACCTCCTACGGTATCCGCATTCTGTAAGTTATAAGTTGACATTTTTGAAATTCGTCAAAAAAAGTTAAATTAATTTTATCCATTGTAGATTTTCTTAATCATTGTATGAACAACTGAACTAACTGAAATAATGAAACCAACTGAAATAACTGACTGAAATATCAATTCTTGTTCTGTCTTCGTACAGATCCCACTACCTTCATCACTCTACAATTTTACTGGGATTAAACGTTACACATATATTCTGTAAGAAGTGTTTGGTTTGGTTTTTCAACAAAATTTCTGATATTTTTTGCAGCATAAAGGTTGATTCTCACTATACCTTACGTTTCCATTTCATATCTTTTCCGTATTTTTGATTGTATTCACGCTATACGTAAGCTTCCGTTCCGTATCAGTTCCATACCTTTTATTGTACAATTTATATCACTACGAAAGTTTTATTTTAAAAATTTGTATTTTTTGACAAAGGTAATAGATTTTATTAAGAGATAAAAGAATTAATAAATATCAGCAAAATATTAACAGAGCTGGTACAAATATAAGAAATTGACAACGCTGTTTCCGATACGCTTCAGTCCGTTCGCCAAAAAAATGGAAGGAAAGGATATGGAACGTAATGGAAACGGAAGGGATGGTGTGCATGGTCCTTTTCATTTACATGATATAATATTTTATGTAAACGGAAGTGAAACGGAGGGGAGCTGATACGAAAAGTATAGTGAGAATCAACATTAAAATGCGATATTGATTCCACACTTCCTGACAACTTACACACTTTTTTCATTCTCCTTCATTTTGTCTCTTGCCCTCCACTCTCCGGCACTGTCTGCTCATAATTCTCATCGCGTTTCTTCGCTCGAATTTAATTTGGCTGTTTTGAGCCGGGGGGCGTCGCCTTGGCCGGCCGCCCTGTAATTAGGGCCGCCGCCGCCGCATTTTCTCACACCTCGGACCTCTCGGCCGCCCGTTTTCCTGCTCGTTTTTCTAACGCGAGGCGGCGTTGTTGTTGTTGATGCCGATGACGGGGACGCGAACGCGCCGCGCGAGATCTCGCCTTTAATTAGGCGAGCAGCCGACAACAGGGGCAGCGCGGTCGATCAAAGACGCGGCCAGTGGCGCCGCGCGCACAGGGAAAATGCTATGTTTAGCTTGACAAAAATCTAAATTATAATTTTTTTGTCGTATGTTCTTCCACTCACTGTCGTTCTTATAAAATCTGTGGACCTAATTTTAAATGTTATTTTTTTTTTCCGAACAACTATAACGGCCCAAACGCTACCGAAAGTTAGCCTTGCCCGAACGTGGAGCGCGAAAGAGTGTCATTTACACCCAGCACACAGCCATTTGAAAATTAATTATCAGTATGGACAATACAGCTACAGACATACAGGGTGTCTCAAAAAACATGTGCCATCAAAAAAACATTAATAAATCGAAAAAATATTAATACTGTAACATCCTGTAGCTACGAAACAAAGCAGAATCGGAGCTATGTTGATCTAAAAAAATGTTATTTTTACGTTAGGAATCACCCCACCAGAGATGGCACATGTTTTTTGAAACATCCTGTACATGTATAACATAATGATAAATAAAAATTTTCGTCAGTGAAATTCTAATAATTACTTTCTTTAAAGCTTTATTTGCATTAAAGTACTAAAATTGCATTTCATTTAAAGATTCTCTATGTAAAGAGTATATCTAGTAAAAGTCTGTTAAAAAGTCTTGCAGCAAGACCGAGATAACGGGAGTGAACAGAAGAACAATAAAATTTTAGAATTTTAGTCCGGTAAAAATATACCGGAATTATTACTGTATAACCATAATATGTAAAGGTATATTTTTACGATACTGTATGAGAAAAAATTATAAAGGTAAGGAGTGCTAAAAATCATAAATCCCAACAAAATTCGTGAAAATAATTAACTAATCGGCCTTAATCAGAGCTAACTAAACAATCCTCCAGCATAATTATTGTCGAATCGATAACATCAGCCCGCCAAACTTGCCACTCACCGACAACAATCCCAAACAAAGGCCTCCGAGAATCGGGAGAAAAAAAAGGAAAGTTTTCTCGTTATAATTCGGTTTTAATATATTCTTTTGATGACAATAATGTTATTTAATAATGAATTTATACCCCACAACTCAAGAATCATACTTCTTCAGCTAATGGTAAACTGCTGATGGACACATGCCATCCAGTTCAAAAGGACCCAGTCCAGGAAAGTTTTCTTGTTATAATTCGGTTTTAATATATTCTTTTGATGATAATAATGTTATTTAATAATGAATTTATACCCCACAACTCAAGAATCATATTTCTTCAGCTAATGGTAAACTGCTGATGGACACATGCCATCCAGTTCGAAAGGACCCAGTCCAGGAAAGTTTTCTTGTTATAATTCGGTTTTAATATATTCTTTTGATGATAATAATGTTATTTAATAATGTATTTATACCCCACAACTCAAGAATCATACTTCTTCAGCTAATGGTAAACTGCTGATGGACACATGCCATCCAGTTCGAAAGGACCCAGTCCAGGAAAGTTTTCTCGTTCTAATTCGGTTTTAATATATTCTTTTGATGATAATAATGTTATTTAATAATTAATTTATACCCCACAACTCAAAAATCATCCTTCTTCAGCTAATGGTAAACTGCTGATGGACACATGCCATCCAGTTCGAAAAGACCCAGTCCAGGAAATTTTTCTCGTTATAATTCGGTTTCAATATATTCTTTTGATGATAATGATGTTATTTAATAATTAATTTATACCTCACAACTCAAGAATCATACTTCTTCAGCTAATGGTAAATTGCTGATGGACACATGCCATCCAGTTGAGAAGGACCCAGTCCAGGAAAGTTTTCTCGTTATAATTCGGTTTTAATATATTCTTTTGATGATAATAATGTTATTTAATAACTAATTTATACCTCCCAACTCAAGAATCATACTTCTTCAGCTAATGGTAAACATGCCATCCAGTTCCAAATGACCCAGTCCAGGAAATTTTTCTCGTTATAATTCGGTTTTAATATATTCATTTTATGATAATAATGTTATTTAATAACGAATTTATACCCCACAACTCAAGAATCATACTTCTTCAGCTAATGGTAAACTGCTGATGGACACATGCCATCCAAATCAAAAGGACCCAGTCCAGGAAAGATTTCTCGTTATAATTCGGTTTTAATATATTCTTTTGATGATAATAATGTTATTTAATAATGAATTTATACCCAATAACTCAAGAATCATACTTCTTCAGCTAATGGTAAACTGCTGATAGACACATGCCATCCAATTCAAAAGGACCTAGTCCAGGAAAGATTTCTCGTTATAATTCGGTTTTAATATATTCTTTTGATGATAATAATGTTATTTAATAATGAATTTATACCCCACAACTCAAGAATCATACTTCTTAAGCTAATGGTAAACTGCTGATGGACACATTCCATCCGGTTCGAAAGGACCCAGTCCAGGAAAGTTTTCTCGTTATAATTCGGTTTTAATATATTCTCTTGATGATAATAATGTTATTTAATAATGAATTTATACCCCATAACTCAAGAATCATACTTCTTCAGCTAATGGTAAACTGCTGATAGACACATGCCATCCAATTCAAAAGGACCCAGTCCAGGAAATTTTTCTCGTTATAATTAGATTTTAATATATTCTTTTGATGATAACGTGTATTTTCAGGACACAGTATGAGAAAAAATTATAAGGTTAAAGAGTTCTAAAAATCGTAAAACCCAACGAAATTCGTGAAATTAATTAACTAATCGGCCTTAATCAGAGCTAATTAAACAATCCTCCAGCATAATTATTCTCGAATCGATAACACCAGCTCGCCAAACTTGCCAGTCACTTCGCGTCAACAATCCCAAACAAAGGCCTCCGAGAACCGGGAGTGTCTAATGGCACTCTGTCCGTGGCTCGTAAATCTGGGCTCGCCGCGCGAAACTACCGGGACCCTAAACACCGTTTTAGAGCCGCGTCGAGCGGGCGCCGCCCTTTCATTACCGACACCCGACAAAAACCCAATTAATTTGCCCCACTCTGTAATAAGCGGAGTTCAGGCACGCACACGCGGGTTGGAGAAGGAATAACCGATTAAGGCAGAAAATAAATCTGCTGGTGTTAAAGAATGCTTACCTTAGGGTGTATTCCGTTGCTTACCTTACTTATGGTTTTACATATGTTCCGTTTCTATCGGTTTTCTGAAAGTTTTCTTGTTACGGAACACGGTTCCTGAAAAATTCGGTAATAACTCTCACCAAACTAACCAGCGCGACAAGGCTGGGTTTTCTGGTTTTGTTTGTCAATCAATGTCATTTATGTGACAGAAATCAAGCAAATATTGGAAGTTCGAGTGAAATTATCATTTAATTTCAAAAATTTGTAATAATATTTTGTATTTACATCCAAAAGCAGTGGAGGTAGGCAGTAAAGGTAAATAAATTTCATTAACTAAATAGAATGACTTTTTAGGACCATTTAAACTTATCATGCGGCCATTGTTTCTTAAAGTCAGGAATATTTAAAGAAAACATGAAAAACAAGACAACAAGTAATAGTGAATGTTTTGTAAGCGATAAAAATATAAATATTGATTGAGATTTGTCTATTTCTTAGTGATCTGTTTTAGTATTGGACCTGCAAATCTTCACTTGAGCTGTCTAACGAGTTTAACAGTTTATTAATAAAGTACTTTTCAATATTAAACTACATTGAAAAGATGAAGCAAAGGTAAATGCAGAGAATAGGGAAAGAGACACAATTATAAGTAACATTGCCTAAAATGTGTCCAAAAATGCTACTTGGGTATAGCTTAAATTTATGGCGTATCTTCGTGTATTAAAAATTGAATGTGTGTATTAAAATGTATTAAAAATTGATTATCAATTTTGGCAGTATACTATATTTCTTTGAATATGGTAGACAATGATTCAGTATTGAATGTAAAAGAATTTCGAACTTCCATTGTCTTTATTTATTTTGATTAACACATTGTTTCGGTCAGAAGGTTCCATCGAGTTCCTTAAGTCCTTTGATATCGATGGAGAATTTAAAAGTGCCAAAGATTTAAAATAGACAGCTTTAGTTTACTACACTTGAACATTGATAGTCAACATCGATAATTTGCCATTAAAACATCGACATATCACGAGCATCGATGTATCATTCGCATCCCTAATAGCACCGACCGTCCACCGCTGCAAACAAAAAACCGATGCTATCGGGTTTTTGAGAACCGCGCAGTAATGGACTTTAGCGTTAATGTAAATGAATGCGCGCACGTCAGAAAATGTAGAAGCACTTTGTCAGAACGGATTCGAAATGAGGAACGAGCACTGCCTTATCTTGATCCGGTATCTGTGGGTATCCGAGGAATGTCGAGGGGAGTAGAGAGGCAGAGAGTGAAGAAAACAATCGTCGAAATCGGCTATTAGTAGAATTATTATTCATAAACTGGTTGAGATCTGATTTTAAGAAAGAGACACAGGCATGAGGCAAGGCAATGAAGGAATTTTGCAACCGAGATTTGTATTGGAAGGTTTTAATAGATGTTGTTTCATTCTTAGTGAAAGCCCTCAGAAAGATAATATATAGACAAACCTCGCTGTACGAATTAAAGGTACTCAAGATATACATACCAGAAAAATATTAGTTTGCCACTTATGTACTACTCTTAGTACGAGAGCTAGCAACGTCTGGAAAACAAGTATTTTAAGAAAGCTGGCTCTTTGATATATATTTTTCTATGCTCTCTGGAACAGCCTATCAACGTTGCGTTTACTACTGCGCATTGAATAAAGTTTCTATATTTGTATTTAGTCCTTTAAATTCGAGTATTGAATATAAATGGAACAAGTCTCCATAGCGCGGCGCGAAAACGTTCTGCCTATAAAGCGAGAAGTCCCGAGTTCAATACCGGCTCGGGGTAAACTTTTTTAATTTTATTTTCCTTTATATTCTGATAGTAAAGTATTAAATAATTCTGGTGATTAAAAAAAACAATTATTATTTTCAATTTATTTCTGTAATCTCTGTATACTTTTGTAAGATAACAATCTGTTCCAATTCATTTTATAACTGAATTATATCTCTTTCCGACGCATTCATGCACAAATGCGTGTTTTTGTCTATATTTTTAATTTAAAATATATAAATATAAGGCACATAAAATTTAATATTTTATGTATTTTTGAAAATTCTGTATAAAATAATTTTTCAATATAGAAAACGGTTATCAGACACCCATAAATTATGAATATTAATTAAAGAAAAATTTAAAAAAATGTGTGTACACTATCTGCGCATATTTAAAAAGAAACTCCATACTAACAGCTATTAAATTGAAGGATTTGAAGGATATGATTGAAAAAGTGACATATGATGCTGTTCTAATATAAATATTATTTTCAATTTATTTCTGTAACCTGTACATTTTCTGTTTCCTGAATAGTCTGCAAATTTTGTGGAACACCACCCAAAATACACACTTTTATGCAAATGCCTAATAATGTTAACGCCCTTTAAAATGTATTTAAGAAGAGAAGAAATTTTGAACCTAACCAACAATTCGTGTGGTCTGTTTTTGTTTTATGGTCTTGTTAAACTTCCTTCTAAACATCTGTTTCTATCTTTCCAGAGAGCCAATGGACAGCCTCTTCATGGACCAGCATTTTCTCCGTTCCTCACTCAGGCTCTACGGCGGTGAATCCCCCCTGGACGCGGAGAACAACAACGCCAACTCATTCTTCTCAGCCGCCATGATGGAGAAAGCCAGGGCCCACATCCAGATGTGGAACAGAGCAGGAGCTGCGGCAGCTGCCGCATACAACCCCAGCGAACTTCACGCCTTTCTCCTTAACAGTTCCAGCCAGCAAATGTTCCTAAACCAGCGAAGTTCCATGCCTCTAGGACTTGGAAGTCATTTATGGTCTCAAGGAGGAGCTTCGTGGCAAAACGCCATTCACCAAGGGATACCTCCTGGATTACTGACCACGTCTTCAAGACCGCAACTGACTCCACCTCCTGCATCGACTCCAAGTTCGTCAGGATCACCCAGTCCAACTTCAATAACGTCATCTTCGGAAGTGAGGTTACCTAAAGCAGTGTTTCCACAGTCAGCAATGCACCATCATCACCAGCATAGGTTTAGTCCGTACGCTTCACCTTTGTCAAGGCCCAGTTCGGCAGCGTCACGGTCAAACCACTGATGGACAGTTGGTGGGGATGTTTGTTTCTAAAACCAAAGAGTCTACAGTTTGTTGGACCTTAAATAAATGTGAAAATAAGAAAAAAACGTTATTGGTGTAATTGTAAATATTAGTACATGGATTATACAAAAGGTGTTTAGACATAGAACAGAGATTTTAGTGAAGGTTTATATACAGGGTGGGTCTTAAATAAAAGCAAGTGGTAGTTGAACCGGTTTTTTTTTTCAATCTTGGCATTTTAAGGAAAATATAAAATTCAATGGACCTTCTCTAGAATTTTTGTAGTATGTTTTAAAAATCCTGTATATACAGGATGTTTTTTAATTTAATCAGTATAATATATTAATTTTAAACTGTGATGTTATTTCAAAAGTTATACAGTATGTCCCCGGATTGTTTTTACAAGAGGAAAAAAAGTTTTTTATTATTGACATTTTGAAAAAATACAATCTTTATGAAAATTTTTGCTTGTTCTAACATGGTTAATCCCGTTTATTATATTTATATTTTCCATTAAAATTCTCGAAATAGAGTAGATTTTTTTCCTAAAAATCAAAACTCATTTCTAGGGTATTATAATTTCGTTTTTATTTTTTGATAGGTTGTTATTCATAGAATTTTAATTAACGTCATATTTTTTGCTGTTTTAAAATGTTAAAGAAACACAAAATTTATTTAGTTTAATGCTACGGAAAGGGTGATAATAGTTAACAGAAAATGTGATATTTTAACAACAGCAAAAAATATGACATTAATCTAAATTAATAATAACTAACTTTTGATTTCTAGGAAAGAAATACCTTATTAACTTATTACTTAACAATATTCTATTTTTTTTAATTTTCTCTAAAACTGTATGGAAATTTTGAAAAGTATAAACGGGATTAACCATTTTAGAACAAGCAAAAATGTTTTTTTTTCTGAAAAATAAATTTTTCTCCAAACGTCAATAATAAAAAAGTTTTTTCTCTTGTAAAAACAATCCGCGGACATATTGTATGTATAACTACTAGAAAAATATTTAGTTTTTTTGTTTTAAACAACATTTTTGAAAACTCTCAGATATGAGTAATAAACTGACCGGCAAAAAAAACCGGCCACTAAAAACTAGTCCCAATTTCAAAGTTCGATTTCTCGCGAACCACTCATTAAATTTTGATGATTTTTTTTTTAAATTGTAAATTAATCCCTTCTTAACGGATGTTACGTCAGAAATTTCTATTCCGAATTTATTTTGAACATATACAGGGCACAACAATAAGAAGAAGTTTTTTGCCCGAACTTTGTAACACTCTGTAGGGTGTAGCAGCTATAGTAGCTATTGCTAAATCATCAATCACATTGTAGCCTCATCTTTTGTGAGCATTTTGTGTTTTTTATCACGACATTATCTCTGTTTTTATTGGAGATACGCTGCTTTAAAACGAACGTCTCGGAAAAATGCTTCGCAGGCAGAAAGTTTTATCTATAAATAATCAACGCGACATAGACGAAAAGGGACTTGTGAATATTTTCAATATGACAACGACGGTTGTCAATTCAAAAATGCCATTATCTGTGACGGATGTTGCGGCTTTTATTGTGGCTTTAATTGAGGATGGCCGAAGTCAAACGTTATGTGTCCGATACCTTGGGTATACCTCGAACAACAGTCCAGGATGCCTGGAATCGGTATATGGAAACGGGAAATTTCACCAGGCAAGTGGGTTCTTGGAAGAAAACGGAAGAAAAATACAATTGACGACCGCTTTATTATTCTGAATACTTTACGAAATCGTAGAATTACAGCGTATCATAATCAACATCTGCTACAAGCCGACGTAGAACTCAAGTCAGTGAGAGAACAATCCGACGAAGACTCAAAGAAAACAGCTTGTCTGCAAGGAGGCCTACCAAAGGACCTCAACTACTTCGAAGACATCGTCGAAGACGTCTTCGGGGTGAAAGGGTGAAGAAGTCTCCAGGGTGTTACAAAGTTCGGGCAAAAAACTTCGTCTTATTGTTGTGCCCTGTATATCCTCAAAATAAATTGGGAATAAAACTTTCTGACAAAGCATCCGGTAAGAAGGAATTAATTTACAATTTAAAAAAAAATCATCAAAATCTAATGAGTGGTTTGCGAGAAAACGAACTTTGAAATTGGGACTAGTTTTTAATAGATGTTTTTTTTGCCGGTGAGTGTATCATTTAATTATGTTACATCCTGTATATGTATAAAGTGTTTTTATTTGCTTGTTTTCAAGCATAATGATGATGTTTTGTTGTTTTTTTAGTTAAAATAAAAATAAAGATAGAAGAAGAAGAAACAGTATTATTCTAGATGGTTTTTAGTTGTTTTAGTTGATATTCAGATTGTTCCTTTATTGGGTTTGAGGTTATGTAATTAAAACAGAATTCTTAACAATAAACATTCCATATAACAATAATTGATAAAAATAAATAGCATATAAAAAACATTTTGTGAATTTTTAAAAATCTTGACAATATAATATCATAATTTCTTAAGAACTAAAAAAAGGAATTCTGATTTATTTAGAGAACCTATATACCTGTACCTATATAAAACTAAATATATATAACGCTATGTATATAATATACTTACTTGTGTAATAGATGACAGAAAAATACAGAATCTATCACTACCTAATGTAAAATCTTTGGTTATTTTTGTACTCTATTATGTTGAATTGAAAATTATTTGTTGTTGTGTATATAATCAAGTGGAAATGTAAATTATTTAATAAATATTATTAATTTAATTATTTATTTGTGTTTTTATTATCATCCTGTATCCTGTTAAAAAACAATTATAAAGAAACATGTTTAAAAAAATAAAATTATTAATAAAAGAAATATATTTAAAAAAAGAAGAAAATAAAATTTAAATTAAATTAATCTATCAATTTTTTACATTAAACAATTTATATGATATAAAAGCTTGCTTTGTGATTGGTTTACTACACGCGTATAACTTATACAGGGTGTTTCAAAAAACATGTGCCATCTTGATGAGATAAAGTCAATTTTATTAATTTGCCTTGACCCAAGTCTAATAGCAGTATTTAAAAAAAATTAATATCATTAACTTGCCAAAGTTTTAAATAAGTACTTACTCATTGATTCCTTATCAAAAAATATGAAAAAAAGTTCCTATATACAGGGTGTCTCAGATTTTAATCGGGAAAATTTAATAGACGATAGAACTTGCTAAAATAAAACAAAAAGTTCATATCAACTTGTAAGATTTAAAGCTTCCTTTTCGAGATACAAGGTACCAATAGAATATTAATTATAATATTATTACCAATTAGAATTTAATTTTTTTCTCAAGAAGTAAGCAAGATAGACAAAAAAGTCAGGAGACAAAAAAATAATATTTTTAATTACTAAATCCAAAAATAATACTAAACATCTAAAAAAGCAGTGGCGTGCCTATTTTTTTCCTTTAAAATAATTTAATAGTGATGCCCCACCGCCGCCCCTGGCCATTAAACTTAAATCTAATTACATCAAATTAAGTCCCATAGTAAGTATTATAAACGGGTCAAGTTATATCAAAATCGATTAAATACTTTTTCAAATATCTTAATTTTTTTTTTCTTTTTTAAGTAACTTTAACACCCTGTATCTCGAAAAGGAAGCTTTAAATCTTACAAGTTGATATGAACTTTTTGTTTTATTTTTGCAAGTTCTATCGTCTATTAAATTTTCCCGATTAAAATCTGAGACACCCTGTATATGGGTATGGAAATGCATAGTTTTAGAGTTACAGGATGCTAAAACTTTTTGAAATTAGGTTTTTTGTAATTAATCTTAAATACCATTATTTTTCTATTTGAAATTGCTGTATGTTGGACTAATAGTAATAATATTTAATAATAAATTAGGTAAAATATATAATTTATTAATTTTATTTTAATTTTAATTTTGTTAATTGTGGTTAATTAAATTGCGTTTATCTCATCAAGGAGGCCGAATTCAATAAAATATCAAGAAATAACTTTTAATTGACATTAAACGGCCTAACAAAATTTTGATATCAAAAGAAAAGAGTCAGTGGCGCACATGTTTTTTTTAAATATTCCAGTAATAACCCATATGGTCCTCCCTGATAAATTTATCGACACTTTTTAGCATATATAATATGCAATATGCATTTATAGTAATTTTTACCCTCAAAATTTCGATCGAATCACTAAAAGTATGTACTTGGAAGAAAATTATAATAAATCGAAAAATTATTAAGACTTTAACACCCTGTAGCTACGAAACAAAGCAAAATCGGACCTATGTTGATATGAAAAATAAATATTATTTTTACGTGAGGAATCTCCCCACGAGAGATGGCACATGTTTTTTGAAACACCCTGTAGAGAGTGTCCCAGAAATAAGTGCAAGTATTTTAAGGGGTGGTTAGATCTGACCAAAAGAAACATATTTCCTCTTTACGATTTTTAAAATACGGTATCAGACTCTGTTTCTTTAGTATTTTTATTCAAAAGAAAAAAATACTATTTATACCATAATAATAATAAGCAAGCCTCTATATTTAGAGACCTTGACAGAATGCATTGTCCAACGGCTGGTGTCAGGTATCAGTGACAAGCGTACAATAGTTAAAGGCCCGCCTACATTCAACAAAATTTATGATATATTTTTATGGTGATGTTGTATTTTTTCTGAAAATTCCGAATCTCGGTGGGATTTGTTTACAGATTGTTGACGAGGATTAGGGGATTATCCTGTTAAAAGGTCCGTGAAAATTTGTTTGTTTGGGATTTTGATTTGTCTGGCGTTTGAAGAAGTTAAATGGATTAGAAAATAGGAGAAAACACGTTCTTTTGAATGGAATGAAGGGTTGTTTGGGGTTATAAAGAATTCTGAGAGTTTACCGTTAGTCGAGAAACTGGAATCTTTAAAAAACACAGTAAGTAAACAAAGAAACAAGTCTAAAAGATGTTATAAACAGATTATCCAATATTTCTTGGTACTTATTACTACTAAATAATCAATCTTTAAAAATTTTTGCAGATTCTCTTTCCGCTGTATTACGAAGTATTTTCAGTCAGATTAAGAGTATGATGTCGTAGCGATGTGGCAACACAGAGCATCTCTCACAATGTAAGCATTATTTTTTTTAATTTTTAAAAATTGTATAATTTGAATATTTTGATTTTCATTTAAAAAGTAGAATAAAAAAAATGCTTCTTATGTCCAGATCTATAGTCTGTCCAACGACAAAATCCTTGACAGTGATAGATATGTCTGTCATTTTAAGTTCAAAGTAGTTTATTTTATTTTACAAAGAAACAAGTTGGTACAATTAGAACGCATAGCAGAAAATGAATCTAAATGAATATA